CACTTTTTGCATTTCTCGAAATCTACGTCGAATCGGTTCAAATTTCAGGAATCTAAGTTTAGACAAGCCCTTTCGAATGGCGCCAACCGCGATCAAATCGGTCAAGCCGTTCAAAAGTTACAAGAGGTTTACACACACACACACACACACACACACACACACACACACACACACACACACACACACACAGACGTACGGACATCATCGTAAAAATAGTCAAGGAAACTTCCTGTGACCTTCAAACATCGAGATTTGTTGAAAACTCGATTTTTGTAAAACGGGGTGAAAACAATAACTTCCCGATTTTTGAAAATCTGAGATTTTTAGCGGGAAGTTAAAAATTGTCAGATGTCTGCTAAATTCATAATCGTTGACAAATACCTTCTTTTGCACACATGAAATAATTATCATCAACTGCTAGTTTACATATAAATTTCGGGTTGCAACATGTTAATCTATTCTTAATATCACACTGAAAATATTTAACACGTTTATAAATAAATGAAAATTATTCTTCATAACGAGTATTAAAATAAAATATAATTTAAAATATATAAGATGAAGTTACTTACTACTTCTCCGTATGCAACGCATCTGTGGGAATTTGTTTCATTATTATTTTTTCCACGAATGCAAAATACCATCGAAGCCAAAATAACCAAATAAAAAAAGTTTTTTTTAATAATCATCATGAAATTATTCCCAACCCTTTTCTGAAATAAACAAAAATCAAAAATGAATACTTAATAAAACTATTCCAGGTAATTGAAGATACATAGCAGATATCATCAATTAGAAAAAAAAAATTTATTAAATTCAAAATAACAAAATTATTTTTTTATCAGTATACCTTGTTTGGAAAACTATTTAATGTATCAAGCTATTTGATTGATTACACCGACAAAAGTTGAGTAACTTTATCTTTTTTATAGCTTTTGATTCAACTATCAAAACATAAAATATATTTTTAAAATACTTAACGGATGTTGTTTAATTTTGTCCAATTTTTTTTAAAGAATTAATAAAATTTTTCTGTTCATGTATTACGATGTAAAAATAATAAGTGTTTTAAAATATAAGAAATAAAAATAATAGTTAGAAAGTTTAGGATTTATTTTTCTCATTGATTACATTTAATTATCAATTTATTGTACCTTTTTTAGTGATAAATGAAAAAAATGATTCTAAAATAAACAGATATCTTATAAGATGCATACAGTTGCTTTGATTTTTTATGAAATTCAATTATTATAAAAAAAATTTAGTAATAATCAACATGTAGAAATTAAAAAAAATCGTAAGTGTCAATTTAAACATTTAGAAATTTAACGCCGTGGAAAATTCTCTGTGTTTAAATTTTCACCAGAGTGAATTATATATTAATTAATCATTATTCACAATTTATCAGAAAATAGTTATTCCACGGGTTATTAATTATTAAGAATTAAATCATCATTAAATTTCGACGCAGAAAAGACTTAAACACCCGCAGGAAAATTTAGGCACGTAATTTTTACGTTTAGTAAAATTATAAATTATTATTTAATCTAGTAGCCAATTTCTGCTTGGGGAGTCTTATATTGAAAATGTCCTGTAAAAATTATCAATAATTTATTATTATTGTTATTCCGGTAAAATTTTTAATAAAACTATTTATTCGTGTGGATTAAGTCCGAGTAAAATTTAGTTAAAATTACAAAAGAAGGTTCTGAGAATTTTGTTAATGCACAGAGATAAGCTCGTAGTAAAAATGGAAGGAAAAGAAGCGTCGGTTTAAGCCGGAATTTTTAAGAAGTAAATTTGTTAAATTTGTGAGAATAATTCATGAGTTTTATTGCGAGCTAATGAACGCTAATTAACGTAGTAAATTTTTGGAGTTAATTTTGTAAATCCGGATATAATAAAGTAGAGTCGGTGTGTGTGTGGGACGCGTGGGTTATGTGTGTGAAGATCGTGCGGGTTAAGTGTGCGCGATTGTACGCGTTCTCTACTTGTTGATGGTTCGCCGAGTAGAGCAATTCGTACAGTCCTAGAAGCCGTTGTATAGTCGCCAAGTGGGGTACAGCGGCAGTAAGTTAGAAACTGCAGTATAGTCGCTCCGTATGAGGGTACTGCGGGATTAGGAATTTTTCTTGGACGACCCCTACTTGTTGATGGTTTGCCGAGTAGACGACTAGCGCCAAGTCGGAGTCGCCGGTTTTAGCCCGAAATCCTCCGTCAGTTATAAGTCGTAGTGTTAAGTGGAGTCGCCGGTTTTAGCCCGAAATCCTCCAGTAGTTATAAGTGAGTTGGGAGTACGTGCAAGTGCACGAGTTGTTATTTCATTTTATTTATTGTTGAATAAATTTTGGCCAATTGTTAAATAAAGGTTTAATTATTTCCAGTACACCTTTCTCTCTCTCTCTCTCCCTGTAGAATAAGAAGCTCAGCTCTGGCATCCGGTTCCAGGAACCGAGAAAAAAATCCTGTTGGCGCCCTATTTAACTTTAAGATCATTTATTGTTATTTTGTTGTTTTATTAAATTTAAATAATAGGGCCAATCGTACGGGAAATAAACCACCCGTTAGACTTAGCATTTTACAATGTTGAATACCTCAATTATTTTAATGGGTCTCAGATAAATATCGACGGGACTTTTCGGTTTACACCGAAGTTCAAGCGTCAACACCTCCAGCCGTATCAACATCTCATTATTTCAAGTGATATTAATGGGAAGGTAAGTACACTTTTTAACTTTCCGCTAAGAAAATAAAAATTTTTTTTTGTTTTGATTTGATAAGCGAAAAAAATTGGACAATAATTGAAAATATTTGGTATTGATCAGTTCGATTTTTTATTTAACTAGATTTTTCCTGCTGTTTATGTACTGATGCCTAACAAAAAAGAAGCTACGTATAAAAGTGTACTTACGGAGGTGAAAAATTCAATTGTACCGAACTGGCAACCACAATTTGTAATTTCAGATTGGGAAACTGGATTAAGGAATGCGGTCCAGGAATTATATCCCGATACTTCATTGGTTGGATGTTTTTTTCACTACACCCAGGTGAGTCATTGTATTATATTAATTAATCATTCCTTTACTACACAGAAAAAAAGGTTCACTTGAGCCAAGAAAATATTTTTCTTCCTAATTTTTTTCTTGAGCGGAAAAAATTTTTTTTTGACACAAGAAATTTCACTTATTCCAACAAAATTAATTCTCTTGCTTTAAAGAATACGTATCTTGATCCAAGAAAATTGATTGAAGTTAAAAAAATCTTCTTGTTTTGAGAAAATTCAGCTTGTTGCTCCAAAAAATTTAGTTCTTGATAGAACTAAATTTTCTTGTCTTGAGAAAATTTCTCTCTTGCTCCAAAAAATTAAATATCTCGATAGAAGTAAATTTTTATAAATATTTTTATTGATTAACATGTCAAATGGGAAGATGAAATAATATTGAATATATTTTTTTTCATTCAATATGTATAATTGCACGCCAAAATAATATAAAATTGGTATCAAATATTCAAGAGAAAAATTTTTTCAAGGTGAGAAAATTTTTTTCTCAGCTGAAGTAAATGGTGCAGCTTCCCTAAAGTATCTAAAAATCTCGATCAAATATAAAAATTTATTGTATCAAGTATTTATGATAATTTGAATTAAGAAAAAATTACTTCCATCAAGAATAAAATTTCAAGAAAAATTTTGATTTCGGCCAACACAACTTCGGTCTTCCTTCAGGCACCCAAAAATTTTCTTGAGCCTAAAATTTTGTTCTCCAGTCAAGAAATTTTTTTTTCTGTGTACAGATCCGAAATTGTTGAAGCCTCGGATAAAGAAAGAGTTTGTGTTTTGGGGCACCATCAACGGAACTACTAATCACACCAACTATTATGGATTGAATGCTGTTTCTCAAGCTGATGCAGAAAAGCTCATTAAAATTGCCGACGAAAAATTTGCTAGTGATGAACAGCCAGCTTACGACTGGCCTATTCAATTTGCCGTGCCTTACATTCTGATCGATTGAGGGATCTGTATCATTTGTAAATTAATAATCCAGTTTATCATTAAATAAAACCTAATTTGTTAACAATAAAATTTTGAAATTTTATTATTTTTACTAGATTTCATAGAAATCTAACTGTAGCATTAGTCCTCATGACGGAACTTCAAAAAATTTCGCTACATTTTGCAAGGATTTAAAAATTTTTTAAATTAATATTTTTTCACTTTCTAATCCGAATAACTTTGGAATGAGATAACTTATTGAATCTCTGTAAATGGCATCTGAAAGCTCTTTACATAAATTTTAATTTGAGTACCATGTCATATGTGTAGTCTTAAAATTATTTAGAAATGCCAGGAATTTAAAAATTTAAAAATTATAAAAATTCATATTTTTTTACTTTCTCACCCAAATAACTTTGGGATTGAATAACTTATAAAATCTCTTAAAATTGCATTTGAAAGCTCTTTAAATAAGCTTAAACTTGAGTACTTGGGTAATTTGGAGCATTCATATTGCCCATCAGAATTTAAAAAGCTTGATAAAATTAATACACTGGGTAATTTGGAGCATTCATATTGCCCAGAATTTTGAATTTTAGTTTTGGGGAGGTTTTTGCAATAATTCTAATGATTTAAATAATTCAAACATCTAATAATTACTAATGCATTTGAAAATTATGAGATTGTGAGGGTACAGGGTTTGTGTTTTTCGACGGATGATAAAAATGTTTCGTCGAATTAATTTTATTTTCATGTTGCCAACTTAACTTTTTATTTTACGCCATTTTGATTGGGTAATTTGCGCCATACCCCAATCTTGAGAGTCCGGCATAAATTTTTCTACAGTTGGTGCAAATTCTAAGTGTATTCTCTTTCTCTCTCAAAAACTCCGAACAGCATGATGATATGTTGAAGGAGCCAGCGCCGTGAAGTTAGTTCACCGAGGATTTCTCTTTTGTTTAGTCTCGTTTTTTATTTTTTTTTTTGTTATTATTTTATGCCGAGTGCGGTGAAAGAAAATCACGAGCATGTGTTAGTGAAGAGTATATAGAACACGGATTTTTAACATAAGTTTGTCGGTGTGTTATTTCTCACTGCCAACAGGCCAGTTGGTCATCGGATGTTGCCGTTAATTGTGTCGGGTTTTAAGAGACGCAAAAAAAGCGGGTGTCGCATCTTATATATTATTGCCATCATATGGGTTACTGTACATTAATTATTATAATTATAAACAATTACTGCTGGTCTAAGACTGTGCGTACACTCGACTTAAACAATAAAAAAACAAAGAGTTAAAATACAGTATATATATATATATATATATTATATATATCTACAGCAAGAACCCTGAAGACTTGACTGTTGAATATTTAAAGATACCGCAGCTAACCCAACAGCCAACAGCCGACATTGACTAAATAAATGTTCTGTGTGTTAGTACCAGCCAACAGCGATAATCCAAGTTTAGTTGTACCGAGTACTGAGAAATAATGATAATGTCGTCGCCAGTACGACCCGGAATTTTTTTCCAACATCTTGCCAGCCAAATTACAATTAATTACAATTAATAATTATTATATTTTCATTGTATTTAATGATACTGCTGATAGCTGTGATTGTCTATCAATTATCAACGTAAATATAAATATATTTATTTAATAGTATTGTTAATTTTTTGTTTATTTGGTTGGTTGATTTTTAAATTACTCAAGGATCTGAGATAGCTAAGTAGCACAAATAAATAAATAAATAAATAAAACTATTTAAAGATTAGTTAAAGTTTTAATCAACTTGAATTAAAACCTTAACAATTGGTGTTGGTATGAATCATATGGCTTTAGAAGCAGGAACATGGCCACGGTTTTTGAGAGTCCATTTCTTTCAAACAGACTCCGGCAAATTGAAGAACGTTACGAGGAACCAGCAACATTTGGCAGATGTGATTGCACAAGTTATAGTTATCTAGCTCTCAGCGTTGTATTATTTACAATTGGTACTGCTGTTACTATTTTATCACTGGGCGATGCCGTTGATGGTCAGATATTTTCAAACCTTGGTCACATGTGGCTTGTGGGGCCTATTTTTATTTGCTCCGGTCTGATGGTTGCTGTTAAATGTATTCTTTATTTGAGAAGAAAGTCCGTCATACAAATGATTATTCATCAGCGCCAACTATTTCGAGTACGTTTTATTTTAACTACTTTTTTTTTATCACTCTGTAATTAACAAAATCATTATTGCCCGTGTAAAAATGATATGATATCATTATGAGGTTCATAATGAATCTCATATTTTGGCACTAATATGAAATTCATATAAGAGCCATATCAATACTTTAGAAACCCGTAATAAGTAAAATACCTGTGGGAACGAATTTTTTTTAAGTAGATCAGTAAAAATTTCATTTTTTCTGTTAATCAGAGGAAATGTATAACAATTGAGAAAAACAGTATTTTTATCATGCACTATACTGTTGAACTACTTAACTTTTCTCCTTGTCTTTCTTAACTTAGAAGAATATTTAGAAAAACACTATCTTGGTTTAATAAAAAATTTTTGATCGAAAAGATTTTTTCGTCTCAAGATAATTATTTTCTTATTTTGAAAACAATTTAAATCCTCCTAAAAATTTCTTTAATTTTATTATTTTGCGATATTTCCTGTATATAGTTATGACTCAATAATTTTATATCACGATTTAAAAAGACTAACAATATCATTATGATTTTATAAAAATATGACCATCATTTAATTATTAATTCATTTTAATATCATTATGATTTCATAATGAAATTATGTTAATATCATCATGGAGATACTAATGTCCTAATGAATTTCCAACAGTTACAAAAAAGTTTTTTTCTTAAATTATGAATAGAAGGCAACAATATCATTACAATATTATGATGAATTTAAAAAAATATCAGCCTGATTCCATCATAAGTTTACGCAGTTACTATTATGACTTCAGTATGAAATTATGCGTTTGTCATTATGGATTTGTCACGAATCTCCATGAGACCGATCCGTGTGGATCAAATTTTATATTTAATAATAATTTTAAATTACTAGAAATTTGCTTTCTCCAACAAGAAAAATAAAAATTTTATAATCTAATTAAAAAAAATTCGTTTTCATAAGTATTTTACTTAATACAGGTTTCAAATATATTGATATGGCTTTTATTATATGAATCTCATATTACTTTAACAATTTTTAGTTCTCATATTTCGTGTATTTGATGGCTTTAATTTAGCGTTTGCAGGAACTGGCAAGTGCACAAGGAGTCGGTGGATCGGGAGCTGGGACACCTGGTCCGCCGCCTTATGATTCAATAGCCCAAGGACAAGGACCAAGTGAACTGCCACCGCCAACTTACGCCGAAGCTGTTGCACTCTTGCATCAAAGTGAAATTCACGGTATTAATATTTCTTCTTTATCTTTTTTATTTTCAGTTTGTTAATAAATATTTATCTAACCTTGCTCGCAGCTTTTATTTATCTATTTATTTGATAGTGATTTATTGATTGATTGATTACATTAATAATAAATTTATTTCAGGTGCTAAATTCTCGAGTGATACACAAGCAGACAGTGGTCTTTTATCAGTGGGAACAACTCGAGCCAAACCTTAAATGCTTCCAAGTATTTTTATATTTGTTGTCATAATAATTACAACTAATATTATTTTATTATCTACACGTACATGACGTATAGTACGACGACTGAAAATTATAATTATAAACATAAAAATAAATATTTCTTTACATCACGATTAATATGAGCGTAGACCAATATCCGGATATATTTAATTAATATCAGGTCATTAATCGGTACGTTATAATATTATCTTCTTTTTTTTATTATTTGTCAATGCCAGTTTTTTATTACATTTTTTTTTTCCTCGAATAAAATAAATGACCACAAGCATTTTCATTAATAAGCTTAGTCGCATTCAAGCTTCACAGTAGTCCAGTCTGTGACATAGTACTTACAGCTATTAATTGTCATTTTAATTCAGCTGAAAAAATTAGTTACTTATTTTGAAATTAAATTTTAAATTTCCATAAATACTTTTAATTTTTTTTTTTTTTTAAGTAATTGTAAATTACAATTAGGTACAGAAGGTTTGTATTTAACATTCCTTGTACGGATGTGGTTACTAATAGAGCTGTGATGGAGTCTGTCGGCGCTAAGTTTCATTATTATAAAAATTTTTTTAGACTTATTAACGTAATTAAGTCTTTTAATAAACAATAACACGTGCAAAAATTTTTTACAGCAGACGATCGTTTTTTTAAACAGAATACCGAGCACATATTGATTAAGTAATTAATTAATTAATTATATAATAGTAATGAATCAATAAATTGGATAGAATTTTTGTACAGTTTACTATAGTTATCAAGAGATAATCAAAGGATAATATTTTTATATTGTAAATGGTCGCAATGGTAAGACTGCGTTTGCCTTTACTGTAATAGTGACGTATAATTACCAACTTTTAATTAAAATTGTCTTGGTGATACCCGGAATTGATCTTGTATCTTTTGAATTTTTCTATAAAATTTTCATCGAGTTATGACGGTATTTATAATTGAAGAAAAAAAAATTAATTAATTGGCCAGTATTAATTGGAATTCATTAAAGCATATCGACAATTTGAGCATAAGATTAAAATTGACAATTTATTAAGAAAAAAATATCGAAATATGTGAATTTTTTATATATGTATACCGTTTATTTAAATTTAAATTAGTTGTATTTAACATAAACTTTTAATGAGTAAATATTATATGAGTGTCGAATAATTAAATTTTAATTTTGAATAAATGTTAATTTTAAAAATTAAAAAATACCACATTTTTAAGTTTAAGGCATCACACGTTATGCAAAAAATGAAATTAAAGGTTTTTATTATCATTACTATTGCAATTAATTTTGATATTTCTTGTAAATAGAGTATAATTAAATAAATGGTATTATGCGGATAAAATTATTGTTATTTTCTTTTTATTATACATTTATTATTAATGTTTATCATTAAATACCTAGTATTAATGTAGAAATATTGAACTTATTTAAAATCAATAATGAAAAAAAATAATAGTATCATTGTATAACCAAAAGTCTTCACGCATTGGCGACGGCAAGCATTTCTTCTTGATGTATGAGATGCGTTGTGTGGTTGAGCAGACTCATTAGTTTATTGAGAGACGCAGCCCAGGCGTCAAGAACAGCAGCAGGTTCTTGAGTACCAGTAAAACGCACCACTCCAGCTGGTCTATCCGTACGGGCACTTATTACGCCAGTTTCAACTAACTTGCACAGACAAGTCTCAGTCTCTTCAATAGGCAAGTCCAGTAACTCGGCCATCCGGGTCAAAGTTATTTTAGTATAGTACTTGGCCATTATTCTTATGTTCTGCAATAAAAATGTACATTTATTTTAAATATAATTAATTGATATGATAAGTCAATAAAAATAAATGAATGGTGGATCTGTTGATAACTTACATGTTCCACAACACGGTTTCGTAATTCAGTCCATCGTTTTCGACCTTCTTCCGTAGACGCAGTAAAAACTTCCGTAGTTCGTAACTCTTGCTCGTAAATATCACAGAGTCCGGACCACTTTATAAGCTCAGGATTTACGAACAGTCGCAGCAGCTCTTTGTAAGTAGGTATCTCGTCAATTAATTTGTCAGCGAGTAACCTGTGGGTTAAATCTGCTTGTTCCGGCTCGTGAGACGCTAAAACCAAGTACAAAACAGCACGTGAAAGTGCGGTGTGCCGTTTCTCTGAATCGTTTTTCACCGTCGGGGTTTCCAAGATCGCACGGTTGTGGCGACAGAGCTCCAAATACCACCCTTCGTGCTTTGCCAGCTCCATCATCAGTCTGAAATAATAAAGTTATTAATTATTTATTCAATGAATATTTTTATATTAAGGTGGATAGCCACTGTGAAATTAAAAAAAAAAAAAATTTTTTTTTTTTATTAAATCAAAGTTTATAGATCCAAAAATATGTATCTAGAGTTTGGTATCAAAATTCCGAATATTTTCCGAGTTAGAGTCATTTTTGTGACAGCGCGTCGATATGAATCGATTTGCAACTTTTTTTTCCGTATTTGTCTATTCAGTAGCTATCGTTGCACGTAGGGGATTTTGCACATTTTGATTTTTAAGATTTATTACGGCTATTTGAATCCAAAAAAATGAGAAAAAAAAATTGAAAAAATTTTTAATACGTCGCCATTTTTTTTTTAAATCCAAATTTTCAACATCCCCTACGTGTAACGATAACCACATGCATGCAGATTACAACGCTGATTCATTTTTTTGTTTTAAATAATCCGTTTTTGAGTTAGAAATCGCACCGTGGTGGGGGAAATTTTTTTGGTGTTCCACAAAAATGCTAATAACTTTGTAACAACATGATATTTTTTGATAAAAATTCAGGAGAATAATCTTTGATGTATACTTTATAAAACAAAAAAAAAACCCGACCCCCAAATTCCTTTATTATCCCAGTCAAAAAAATTCCCGAAAATCACTTATTTTTTCGATTGTCACAGCGGCTATCCCCCTTAAATTTTATGCTAAATATCTTACTCATAATATTTCAATTTAAGTGCCTGGGTCTCTTCATTGTTCTCATCTTCAAAGAACTTGATACTAATTTTCTTAGCGATTATCTGGGTGCGAACAAAGTCTTGTTTTGCTAAACAGAGACGCATTTGTTCGAGTATCAAAGCTGCTTTTTCGCGTTTAGCCATGCTGCCGTAAGTTTCTATTTGAAGCTCCAACATTATTGATGCTGCACCGGTGATATCATTGTCTTCTTCTTTCAACTTTGCAAGACGATGAATCAAGCGAGCACGTTCGACTTCTACGTAAATCTAAAAAAAAAAAAAAAAATAATCATTTAAATCAATACTTTGGTTTTTAAAAAGTACAATTTAATTTACTTTTCCCGCTGTTACGGATGTCAGAGTTTCAATAAGTTTAATCTCCGTCTGTTTATCAGGAGTTTTATCAATATAAGTAGAGCACTCTTGGACCATCTTCGTGACTGCTTGCTTCAATTGGGAACGTCTTTTTGACAACAGGACTATGTGTTCATTCAAGGCCGCCCAATTTTTAGCTTCAAAACAAATTTCTACTATCGCAACTAGCACTCGTGACGTGGAAATCATATCAGCACCCTGTTAATTCACAAATAAATAATTAATTAATTTGTGTCCTGATAAATTAATAATTTTTCATGCAATATTTTTTCAACTTACGGTTCGGGTCAATTTTTCCAAGATCAAAAGTTGGTCAAGTGCATCATGGAGTTTTCCTTCTTGCGCTAATTTTTTACACTCAGGAATTTTAACATCACAGTTACTGCTGTAATCAACCTCCATCTTAACGATCCTCCCGGAGTCTGTAGTCGTTGGATCAGTCATTTTAAATATTTTTATTCTGATATTCTGCTTCCTATAAAACGAATACAAAAATTACTTAGTAATGTTATTTATCAACTCCATGTTTGACAAGATCATTACAGTGCACTTTTTCTATTTTCAGAAACACAAACAATTTTTTTTCTATTTAATTTAAAAGTAAATAAATGAAAATATTAAAATTTTTAGCCTAATATCAACTCTGAGTGCTTTCATAAATATGTATAAGTTTATTAATTACGAGAATGTAATTAATAAATAATAAATAGTTAGAGGTTAGACTAACAATGAGACGCCGCTTATTCATCAGATATACTGAAATAAAATCTGGATTTTTCAATTAGTATTTTTAAATTTATAAAATAATAAAATTTATCCAATTTAAAAAAATACTTACAATAAAGAATAGTTTCACGATTAACAGTGAAATTTTGTTGATAACAGTATAAAAATTTTTTAGAGTAAAATTTTTTTTTAGGAAGGAGTGGGAAGGAGCTAAAGGTTCGGAAACTTTTTTGGTAATCTAGATGTATTTGTATAAGCACAGCACTGTAACTAGCAGTAGCGCGTATACGGCACTGGTCGTTATATAAGTATTTTTACGTCATTTGTAAACGGTGATTTAAGATTTCAAATATTACAATTTATGTTTCTGTCATTATTGCTTTGATAATAAAAAAAGTTTGTTTTTATTATTATGATATTAAAATCAATAATAATAAAGTTAGCCGACGTTTTTAAAATTTTTTGTTTTTTTTTTTTTTTTTTTTTTTTTTTTTTTTCATTTATTAAATTACAACTAAAAAATCTTTTTTATAAATTGCACTTACAGTTTTTCAAATTTTTTACAAATGAAATTTTTTTTTTATTTTTTTTCTAATAATTTTTTCAATATAAAAAAATTCTAAACATTTTTAGATGTCGGCTAACTTAAATTATAAAAAAAAATAATTTTTTGTGATACTGAAGTTAGCTGACAGCTGTCAATTTTTAAATTCCTATAACAAATCAATAACAATACTAAATGATGCTTTTGAAATTTCTTCTGATAATTTATTTTAATATTCACCTGTAAACTTTTTTTATTAAATTTTTTTTATAATAATTTCATTGCTATAAAATTCTAAAAAAAAATGTCTAATGTCTGTCAACTTCAGTATCATTACTTTTTAACAATTTTTAATTTTTTAGCTGTGGAATTTTTTTATTAAAATTTTTAACAATAATGTAGTTAAAAAAATCAAAAAAATTGACAGATGACTGTTAATTTCTGTAAAAGATCGTATTAATAAAAAGGAATGTTAATTAATTTTTATAAAATCGCTTTTATGTAAACTGACCAAGACTAAAATCATTAAAAATTCAGTAGTTGTTGTCAAGAAAAAGGATGGCAATGTTTTGTCAACATAACCTTTTACATTAGTACTGTCACAACATTGGCTTTATCACAAAAATTTTTTAAAATGAATTTCTGAATGAAGTGGTAATGAATTGATTTGACACTTATAAAAATTTATAAATAATGGGTGATAAAGAAGAAGAAATTCCTTCACAAGAAACTAGTGAAAATGCTGGAGACAATGCATCAAATAATAAACCAGCAGCTGAAGAAGCTGAAATGGAATCATTGAAACAAACACTGTCTGATACTAATTTATCAGGAGCTGACGGATCTCAATCTGCACCAAAGGATAAAACGAAAAGTATGTTGATTTTTATTAAAATAATAACTGTAGTCAGTTTATAGGTATCGATTATTTGTTTACAGTGTTAAATAAAAATAATATTTTATTTCAGTTGACATTTTATTGAAAGCTACTGGCAACGCTCCGATAATGAAAAAAAAGAAATGGGCCGTGAGTCCTGAACAGCATATCGGATGGATATCTGAATTTATTAAAAAGTATTTAAAACTTGACGCAAATGAAAGATTGGTAATTTTTTTTTAAAATGAAATATTTATAATGAAAATTAAGTTAGCCGACATCTAAAAATTTTTAGAATTTTTTTTATTAAAAAAATGATTACAAAAAAATAGAAAAAAAAATTTCATTTGTAAAAAACTTTAAAAACTGCAAGTGCAATTTTTAAAAAATATTTTTTTGTTCTAATTTAATTATTAAAAAAAAATCAAAAAATTGAAAACGTCGATCAACTTTACTTTTATATATTTATAAACAATTATTAACTTCTATTGTGTTTAATTAATTAATTGTTTTTTATTATTGCAGTTTCTGTATATTAACCAGACATTTGCTCCAGCACCTGACCAAACAGTCAAAAATTTATACGACTGCTACGGAACAGATGGAAAATTAATAATTCACTACTGCAAAAGTCAAGCATGGGGTTGAAATAAAAACTTATTATTTAATATAATTTAATCACTAAGCTATTAAAATAAAATGATAATATAAGGATAATTCCAAGTATATAAATTCATTTTTTTCCAGATTTTACAAAGACTAGATTTTTATTAATTGAATTTCGCTGATTAGTTTCTGAAGCCTGAGAATATCCATCTTGTAAAATACTTTGTACACTGTCTGTTCGTGTTGACGATAATTTTTCTTTGCTGTCTTTACCATGGCAACAATTCTTAAAAGACTTAACAGAATTTCGTGCTGAAGCTTGTTCAATTTTTTTATGAGAAACAATTTTAGAATTTTCTAATTTCGAAGGAATGTTCTTCTCAGTTCGACTACTTGGTGCTTCTTGATCACCCTTACACTGACAATTGTCTTTGGCTGGTTGAATTGGATCGTATTGACACGATCCATTGCCTTTTTGACCTAAAAATAATTATAGTTGTTATTTCGCATGCCTAGAGGTGAAAGGACGTATAGCTGAGGGTTAACAGAGATTTGTGCTGAAAGGGCATATAAAAAAATTTTTTTTTGCCATTTGGTTTGAAATTGTTTGAAACGTAAAAATCTGTGAAAAAAAAAAAAGTTGGTATCCTAAAGCTGAAAGGGCGTATCTCAAGACATATGCCCTTTCAGCTATAAGAAAAGTACTACTTAACCCTAGACTAGTCAACAAACGCGACTTAACGACTTTGGTCAAGTGATGAGGGATTTGCCTCAATGCTTTTAGAGCGTACAGTGTCGCAAATTTTTTTAAGAAATTTTTTTTTCAGCAATTTAACGTTTTCGAAGATATTTGAAAAAATTATTAATATATTCTAAAATGTTCAAGGAACAAAGTCAAATTTTTTTTGAATAATTTTAGTAAATATTGAAGATGTAATAAAAAAAATATAATTGAGCGCGGCGTCATGCTTATACGGTGACCAGTCTAGGGTTAAAGGTAAAAGGGCGCATAAAAAAAAATTGTAGTTTTGATACCAAATGTTAAATAATAGTTATACTAAAATAACAGCCTCATATACAAAGTTTGATAAAAGCAAATAGAAAATAAATCAATCAAAAACAAATTACGTAAAAATTAAGTAATAAAAAAAATCACAATGGCAGATAACATTAAAATATTTTGAAATTTCTCGCTTTTAATTGCTTTTTTGAATAAAACTACTGGCACCGTTCACACACCAGCTGTTCCATTATGATCAAGAATCCAGAATCTAAATTTTATAATAACTATTTTTTAAAATAAAAAGCGAGAAAATAATCACACGTAATTTATTGTTTTTTGGATATACTTTTTTTTTAACTTTAAAAAATTGTATAGTTGAGGTTTTACGCCGCTACTACCACAGAAAGTTTTTTTTTTACATTTTTAAACTACGAATATGTTCTTTAGTAAACTGGCCGAAAAAAAATTATACGCCTCTTCACCTTTAGATCACCAAAATTTCGAATTCTTAAAAGTAAAAGGGTGTATGATTAACGACATACGCCCTTTTACTTTTGCAATTTTTTTTTTTTCAATTTTAAGCGTAGAATGTGTCTACTACTCGATTGACAATAAAAAAAAAAGTGTGCCCTTTTACCTTTAGGCACGTGATTTATTGTTAATTTTATTACTCGCTTTTACAGATAGAAAAATTCATACCTTTATGAACAGTCCGAATACTATCAATAGAAGATACAGATCTGCGGCTTATATTTCCCACATTTTCTTCTCGCGGATAACTTTGCCGAGAAATCGAGCCTTCATGGCTGCTTCTAGATTTCTTAGAATCACTTTTGACACTTCTGGAGTCCGCGGAATCGTCAAAAGGATTTTTCCAGATGATAACAGCACCATCAGCGCTTGTAGTCACGACATTCATGCTGTTAGAACTGAACCTACATGCTGTTATGACGGCTGCGTGACCTGTTCCAACGTGAGTGATGTCACCGGTAATATACTCCCAAAATTTAACTAAACAATCATTGCCACCCGTTACAAAATAAGCTCCATCCGGACTGATATCTATGCAGTTTATCGAAGCAATCGTTGACCCTTCAACTTCACGGACTATGGTACCGTCCAATGTCTCCCAGTAGCCGACTTTGCGATCCGTGCCACAGGTAAGAACTTGCAGGCCATTGGGGTGGAATTTTGCTGACATGAACATTGTATTACCCATGATTACTTGTTTTCTTGAACAATCTCTGTAAAAAGTTCAAACAAAATATATTCAATAACTATTTCTTAAATTAATTTAACAAAAAATTTGAAAAACTTACATTATATCCCAGATGACACATGTCCCATCAGTACTTGAGCTTATTACTTCTTCGTCATTGTGAGAAACATGCAATGAAGTAATAGGGCCTCGGTGTTCCTTCAAAATTGCTTTTAATCTTTGAACATCTTTGAATAATTGCCACACTCGTACCTTAGAGTTAAATAAGTATGTATCATCTTTTTTGTATGAAGAAATTTTAAATGAATGTTTCTAAAAAAGTTTTTATATAAAACCTGTCCATCACAGCCACCAGTTATTAAAGTCTTTCCGTCTCTAGTTATACCAATAGCTGAAACAGCTTTTATATGTGCATTTTCAATTGCAAAATACAAATTACCAGTTTGTGGTTTAAATGCTCTAATAATTCCATCGTTCCAAGCTACAATTTTATTTAATATTAATAAAAAGAAATACTCATTCATTTTTTAATATAGCGCGTTACTTATATTATGCCAAAAGGGCATATAAAAAAAAATATTTTCTTACAATCAATTTAGGCATGTGAGAAAAGTACAAATTTGGTTTAAAAATGCAAAAAAAACTTTTTTTCGACATTTGCCCTTTTTAGCTTCAAGAAAAAAATTTTTTAAAGCCACAAAGGCGTGAATAAAAAAAACGCCATTCAGCCACACCCGAAATGAAAGGTAGATTTAATAGAATCTATTATCATCCTGCCTCAATAATTTTCGTCTGACATTGAATTAAATTTATTTTAACATAAATTAGTAGGTTGTATTACACATTACCTGAAAATGGTTAAATTGAACTCTTAACTTCAATAAAATAACTAACAATTGTCAAAAAGTTAACGTAATATATGTCAAATTAGAGGTAATTTCATGAGCTTTCACATGGATTTATTAAAAATTAGCTATCTTTTTTTCTATCAAAAGTTATACATAAATGAAGTCACCAAAAACGTAATTTTGACTATTTTAATCATTATAAAGAGCTACTATTTCTGAACTAATTGAAGGATTTCACTCATTTTAAGGCTCGTGCAAGTTAATTGTCCAAGGAATCTGTGTACTGAATTTCATTAGGATTTGTTAAGAATTCTCGATAGAATAACATTCATAAGTACTACACATTGCTTGAAAATGGTTCAATTGAATTCTTAAAGATGATCAAAATGTCAATGTTATACGTTAAATTAATTAATATATACATACATATATAAACTTTCGAACCAATACTATTTTTGGGCCATACTCGACTAGTTATAGAAGATATTATAACAAAATTCCGACTTAATTTTGACATAAGAACCAATACAATAGATAGATTTCAATGAAATCTACCTAAAAATAATCAAAATAACTTCTAAGGACCTAAAAACGTCGATATCTCATGAAAAATTGATTTTTGGAAATTGAGCCGAAAATATCAACATCCTATAACTTTCTAAAGTTTTCAATTTTTTATATTCTTCTAACTTCTTGTTAAAAAAATCGATAACTTTGGAAAATTGAGATGTTAATATCTTCAGTTGAATTTTTAAAAATAAATTTTTAATTACATCTCGATGTTTTGATGTCCTTAAAAGCTATTTTGACTATTTTTTTATTTACGCCTCTTGAGTTTAAAATTTTTTTTTGCGTTTTTTTTTATACCAGATTGTTACTTTTCTGACATACCCAAATTAATTGGAGAAAAAAATTCTTTTTATCCTTCCTTTTGGCATTAGTAAAGCAAAATAAGTATTTCGAGTAAAAAAAACTGATAAATATTTTACCTGATAAAATAAGTTTACCATTATAAAAAAAACAAAGACTGGTACATACAAAATTGGGTACAGTAATTCTCAATAATTCTTTTTGGGATTCCAATTGCCACAGTCGTATGTCATTTTTACTTCCAGTAGCAAATATTTCTGAATAATTACTATAAAATCATATAAATCAATAGTTTAATAGAGATAATTTAAAGTAATAAATTTAATTACGTACTGAGGAAAAGCAACGTCATATACCGAGTCAGTGTGACATGTTAAAATGATATTACTTTTTAAATTTGTTGAATTTATTTCATAAATTTCACAGCATGAGGTACTCACAAGGAATGAATTTTTTTCGTACCAAGTAATTGATGTCACTGCACCGCGTACGGTTGTTTTTTTTAACTGAAAAAATTCGAGTGTTTCAATAACAATTTTATTCTCTACATTGAAATTAACGAGTAAACTTACAGTGCGTATTTGTGGGGTACACGGCAATTTTACTAATTGTTTAGCCATCGCACCGGCGGGAATAGGAACGATTTCAATCAATTCAATTGTACCATTACCAGTGCCTACAATTATTTTCTTGTTTGGTAACAAAATTAACTGGGTTACACCTCCAGAGTATAAATTTCCAACTCCCGTCTTTAATTTTTTCGGATCTTCAGGTATTTTTGAGTAACATCCCACCATTACTGGTGATGTTGAAGGTTCTAAATTATTTAAATCACTGTCGTAGTTCAACCTATCAATTAATATATAATCTATGTAAATAAGATAATAAAGAAAATTTTATTTCCGGCATTTTTATATGATAAAATGAGTTTTTTTTACTTAAATTTAGGATCATTAGAAAGGTCTTGACCTGAATTTGTGCCTTTTTAATGTTTCATATGTTTTTCAGCAATAGTTAATTTATTATGATAAGTTTTCGAAGTAGTTATAAATAAATTGAAATTTCGCGATATATGTCATTTGTTTATTGATTTATTTCTGTACATGTGGATGTCGACTGCCCAATTTTAAAAGACAGTAACTGCAAAATTTTTATACCTGATTTTTTTAATATTGCTGCATTTTTTATAACTTTTAGACCTTAATTTCAAGTATTTATTTTTAATAATATTTATATTCAAGTATTTTCTATTCATAAATCAAATTTTTCATCAATTTAGCAGGCAAACTTTTTTTTAATAAGAAAAATTTTTTAAAATTTCTAAATGTTAGTTACTGTGTTTTGAAATTGGGCAGCCGATGTGTTTATATGTCAAAAATTAATTTATGCAATTAGGGTAGTTGTCATGGTACAATATTGTCAAAAAATTAAAGATTATACGCGCCACAAAAGTATATGAGCTTGTAGCTAAGTAATCCAAAATTTTTACGCAAGACTGTACCCGTGGAGACGCAACCCATACAATTATTTCTATCCGACTCCGTGGATATATACTTTTTCATAGATTGTTGAACTTTAATCCGTTATTTATAAATAATTAGACGTTCAAAAATTTTTTTTAATTTTTTTCTAAACTCACAACAAATACATTAAAAGACTGTCAGTTTTTTGAAAGTTTCTGACAGTTAGTTTTTTTTTATAACTAAGAAACTAGTACAGAACTACAGAGAGCGTATGCAATCAATGTTAAATATTCAATTTTTAATTGAAATCCTTAATAAGTATACAAAAATTTAGAATTTTTGGACGGTATGCCTTAACCACGACAACTACCTTAAGAGACTAAGAAAAATTTTGTAACGGGTATATCTTTATCGTAAATTGGGTTTGATATTTTTTCAGTGATAATAATTTATGATTTAAATAATCGAGAGAATAAAGAAAGTTTTGTGACGAGCATATTATTATTTTAAAAGGAACTTTTATAGTCAAATTCGGTATCACTAGAAAGGTCTTGACAAGAATTTATACTTTTTCACGGATTTATATATTTTTTAGTGATGGTCAATTTCTTATGTTAAGTTTTTGGAGGAGTTTTTAATGATTTGTTGGTTCTATAAATTTGTTCCGTCACATTTATTTTCATTGAATTATTTGTAATTGATCCTGTCATAGCACTATTATTTTAAAAATTTATTTCAAAAGTGCCCATACTATGTAGAGTGCAATTAGAAATATCAAAAAATCATTAAGCCAAAATTTTTATATTCAATCCATTAATTTCGGCAGTCGGATAATAACTGCAAGTTACTGGTTATTATTTATATAAAAAACAGTATAATTGAATTGTGTTACCGAGTCATTATAATATCTCCTGAAGATGTTCCCCAATAAGCTTCCTGGTCTTTATCATCAATAGCAATACAATTAATACAGCGACGTATTTTTCCTACTTTAATATACGACCCATAAACTTTCCGTGCATCAGGATCTATTTGCCAAATCCTTAAAGTTCCGTCTCCACCTGTGAGGAAACATCGATCGCGAAGATTTGCTCGAGCAAGTGTCACAGCATTACCTGTTATATCAGTACTAGCAAATGCTCCTGCAAAAATTAGAAAAATACTTATTTAATTAATGTTGTATTTTAATTTATTAAACACCATGATGAATTATGAAAACAAACCACATATTGCCATATTTTTGTCGATGTCCCAAATAATAATCTTCCCATCATCTCTTCCGCCTAAACTTATTAGATAATTACTTTTGCACGTAAAACAGATGTCTTCAATTTTGCCTTTATGGATTTCGTAGCTACCGCGCATATTTTTTTCTTCATAGTTCCATATAATTACCATGGCCTGAATAATTATGTTTTTTTTATTTATTTTATAGGAATTTTTATGACACTGAAATTAGCAGACACTTGACAATTTTTTGATTTTTCTTAGAAAATAAACTAGTCCTAGCAAATTATTTAAAAAAAAGTGTATTTAAAATTTTTCGAGCTTCTAAAGATGAAATTTTTCAAACAAATTTTCTTGCTATTTTAATTTATTTGTTAAGAAAATTATAAAAATTATCAGATATCTCTGAATTTCAGTATCATGAATTTGTATTAATTTTATATAAATATATATTTACAGAAAAATTAACTTGATTCAAGAGAAAAAATTTTAAATACTCAAAATTATTTTATAGAATTTCAATGTTTGGAGTCATAAGAATAAAAATTCATGAAAATTAATTTAGCAGTTATTTGATAATTTTGAGAATTATTTTAACAAATAAATTATGGCAAAAAAATTAATTAAATAAAATTAATTAAAGAATATTTCTGCTTGCATAAAAACAATGAAATTATTAAAAATTAGTTTCTTAATTTAAGATTTTTTCCCTTAAATCAATTTGATTTTTTAATCAGCATATTATAAATTTGTCATTACCTTGAATCCTAAGTGAGTAAGTTGTCCGGAAGCAATGTATTTACCACATGGAGAAATGCATAGTGTTGTTATGACATTAGTATGACCAGATAAGAAAATTTGTTCACCTGTCTCGATTGTTTTTACAGTAACTTTATTTCCCATTGAATAGATTAGGTGATTATTATTAGGATGAAGTTGTAATCCATGTTTAGTTATGCCTGTGTGGTGCAGAAATAATTAAAAAAATAATTACTTAAATATTCATGAATTATAATTAGTAATTTCTAATTGAATTATTGACAATTAAATACTTACCATCAAATCCAATAATTCCTAATACATTTAGTATTTTAATATCCATAATTGTTAAAAGAGCTTTGTATGATTTGCCTGACAACTGAATACCATTTGTAAACAAATTTTTTAATTGCGCGCTTGCGTAAATGACTTATTTTAAGTTTCCACGTGTGTTATATCAATGAAGATAATCATTTTTCAATGAAACCAATTAAATATCCATACAGAATTATAAGAAAACTACTAATTGAAATTAAATAATAAAAATTATTTTAATTTAAAAAAAAATAATTTAATGTTTCTCTTCGATTATAACTTTTTATTCTATGATAAATTTTATGTACGAAAAATTCAATAAAAATATTTTGATTAAGAAATCGAATTTTTATTAGAAAAAAATAGTTGAATCTAAATGTAATTGTATATTTTATATCAATGATTAGATTTATCAAAGAACTTATGCTTGCAAACAAAATAATTTATCTTAAATATAAATATAAAAATAAATAAATAAAATTAACATTAATGATACTTTGCGTTTTATGATTTATTAATTATAAAAATGAGTCAAATTTTTCTCTGAATAATTTGACGATTAAATATAATAGGGTATAGCTTATATTTTGATTTATTATAAATTTTACACGTTCAGTTTTTGCAAATAATTTTTTCAACTGTTCGGAAATCGTAAAGAGAAAACTAAACCCTGTAATTTTTTGTCAGCAGCTCACAACAAATTGAACTTCTCTTCCATTGTTAACTTTCTTATTTCTTATAATAGTTACAAAAAAAATGATACTGAAATCAGCAGACCTGGCAATTTTTTTAATCTTTATAAAAAATAAATTATAAACAAAAATATTTTTTTTTAATTTTGCTTTTGTAATTTGTATCAATTTTTTAATGTGGAATTTTTTTTTTTTAATTTTTTCACAATACTTTAATTGCTTGAAATTAAAAAAATTAACAGATATGTGTTAATTTCAATATCATAAGAAAATTCAAAAATTTTACAAATTCAAAAATTTACAGCATTTTAAACGTTGATCAAAACTTTTTTTTATTTAGATCTGATTAAAATTCTCAAAATTTTTAATGATCCTCAGAAATAATGGTAAATTACTTATTTTTAACGCTTCATACTCAAGAGTTTTTGATACTTGAAAAATATTGGCAACAATAAATTCAGTAGCGCACTTTAATATCCCTTCAGAATGATAAAGATCACCTAAAGTAGCAAGTCTTACTGCATTTTCTATGTTCAAAAATTGTATAAGTGACCTCTCACACATTCTCTTGAGCGATGGCAACTGGAACTTCTCTGCAGCATCCAACAAATCCACAACATCATTATCATTTATCTCATCAACTTGGTCTATATAAATAAACTTCAAAACTTTTTCAAAAATCTTTGGATCTATGTCATTTATTTTAACCTCATTTTCCTTAGTTTCTCTCATATCGCTGGTGAACATCGCGGAGAACACTGGACTGCGTACCATTAAAAGAGCTTTGTGTGCCAAAAATTTCTGGTTATCAACTACCAGAGTGATATCACTAGCTAATTTAGTTGCATAAAGTTCTTTTATAGAGTCGCTAACTTTATGGGTTTCTTCCAGCGGAACTTTGCTTACAATTGATGTATAGCTGCCAAATACAGAGAGGCTGATACAAATCGTCAGAGTATCGTTAGGCAACAATTCTTCTCGGGATTTCAAAAAATCATCAATCTCAATAAATTTCGGGTAACCCCAACTCTTTTCGAAGCCAAATATGGTGTTAAACTCATGTGAATACTTTTTCTCATTCTGATGATCCAAAATGAAAAATTCACAGTGTGTTCTTATTTTGACATTTTCTTCATTACACAAGTATAGAAATATTGATATCCATTTTTTTTTATTTTTTGTGTGTTCATCTCTTTCAAGATGTAACTGCAGAAACCAGCTGTCATTAATCTGAGAACCCGTTGAAAATTTTGACGAACGAAGTTCTTCATAATCTCGGCATTCTTTGTAGCACTCAATAAATGAGACAAATTCATTTATCTTCCATTCATACAAAATGTTACGTTTACCTGCTATCGAATATTCTCTTTCCATATTGGAGTAAATTTATACAGTTAAGATTATTTTACTGACAATATTAATTATAAGCAATTAAAAATTAATTTTATCAACACTAATGACAATTCTTTATGATTTAATAAGTAAATAATCGCGTGTTACAAGTGATTGGCGCCGCTTTGTTTTTTAATTTCAACATGGCTACATTCTGAAGTTAGTTGATAGTTAAAGTTTTTGTTTTTAAATAACTTATTAAAAAAAAAAAAATCAAAAATTTATAATTGCAGAGTGAAGTGTAATTCTTTACAATAAATGTTATTTTTATAATTTAAAAAAATTCCAAAAATTGAAAAATATTAGATAACTTTCTAATATTCGGTTTTTGAAAATTTGTTATGCGATTAATAATTAATATTAAAATTAGGGGACATTTAAAAATGTTTGAAATTTTTACAACAAATTATTTATTGTAAAAAAATATTTAAAAAATTCACACTTACAATTTTTTTGAATTTTTATAAGGTAAAAGACCCAGTGATTGACACTTGCAATTTTATTTTAATTAAAAAAAACAAATCAACTTTTATAAATTAATAAATATATTTTTTGAATTATAAATTTTAAGATAATTCATTTTTTGAGGACATTTTATTTTTTTAATTAGAATAATAGTACATGCTCACTATTTGTGAATATAGATATACAAATACACGGAGTGAGCATGTACAAGTACATGAGCAGCTATTGGGGCTCTTACCTTATATAAAACTGAAATCAGCAGACATCTGACAATTATTTTTTTTATACTTATTATTATTACAAATCAATTATAAAAAAAAATACATTATTGAAAAATTTGCACTTGTAATTTTTTTAAATCTGTAAACGTGGAATTTTTTATGATACTAAAGTTAGCCGACATTTTTAATTTTTTGATTTTTTTTTAATAGATAGATAGATAGATAGATAATAAATTTTATTTGATCCTGGAGTTCTAAGCTCCTTCAGGACCATCAACAATACATAAAGTTAATTATTTACAAGTATACATTTGATACAGCATTTGCAATACAATTTGAAAATCAACATTAATTAATAGCTATCATCTTAACTTATAAGATCAATGGTAGTCATATTGATTGCAAGAAGAAATTAAAACAAGCTTGCTTAAAATTTTCAAAGGTGTCAATTTCTGTAATATATCTCCCGGTAATGAATTCCAAATTCTTATGCCATGAATTAAGAAAGAATTTTCATAGATAAGCAGAATTACTTCTCGGTAAACGCAGATAGTCATTCCTGACGTCACCTCTCCTCAATGCAATTGGCAAAAATTCTAATTTTGATCTAAACAATTGATTATAATTTAATTTAATTTCTTTATAAAATAGACAAGCTATGAAATAATTTCTTCTCGCGTTAAGTTTTAACCAGCCCAATTTTTTATAATATGGAGTAGTGTGCTCGAATCTCGAAATTTTGAAAATATACCTATAATGAGAATTTATTTTACGCTGCAATCTATTCTGTAATTTGCTTGATATATTCGTGTAAGCAGCACAACAGTAATCGAAGATGGGAAAAATCAAAGTCATGACCAATTTTATCCTTAATTGTTCATTAAAAATTTCGTTATTGATTTTCAATTGCGCCAACGTTTTCATAGCACGATTGCATACACTTGCGACTTGATTTTCCCATGTTAAAGTATTATCAATGATGACGCCCAAGTATTTAACCGTTTTAACATACGGAATCACATGATCACTCACAACTACATTTTGGGCATTTTTACAATAATCACTGTTAATTTTTTGCCTACTTCCAAGAATAATAGCACTTGTTTTTAAGGCATTTAATTTCAGACAGTTGAAACTCTACACCAATAATCGATAATCTTTTGTATTTCATCATTCAGCATAATAACATATTCATTTATTTGCGACAGGCAACATGAAGTATATATAATTAGATCGTCTGCATAGAACAAATATTGACAATTTAATCGCTTAGCAAGATCAGCAATGTACAGAGTAAAAAGTAAAGGACCGAGCACACTACCCTGGGGTACGCCGTTCTGAATATCTTTTCAAGTCGATTTGTTGTTGTTATAATAAACCGACTGCCTTTTCTGAGTCAAGTAAGACTTTATCCAATTTATTGTTAAGTCTGAAAAGTTCATATGTGATAATTTATGCAATAATATTTCATGGTTTACTGAATCAAATGCCTTACTTAAATCAAAGAGGACAGCTATGGTTATTTGAGATTCATATATTCATCGCAAAACGTACGTCATCGCAGAATTTAACAAATCAGAACAAATTTGTTCTAATTTAATAATTAAATTAGAATAAAAAAAATATTAAAAAAAAATTACACTTACAGTTTTTAAAGTTTTTTTTCAAATGAAATTATTTTTTTATTTTTTTGTAATCATTTTTTTAATGAAAAAAAATCTTAAAAATTTTTAGATGTCGGCTAACTTAATTTTCATAATTTTTTTATGGAAAATTAATTTTGTCATAATAATTTAGTTATAGAAACTTTTGACATTAGTTCGACTTTTTTATTTTTTTTTTTTCTATGGATTGTATCTTATATATGTCATTTTTATAAACAATATTTACTACACTTGTACTCATGGCCAATTGCTACACGAGAATCTCTGTATTCTGTTACATGCAATAAAACTATAATTATAATTATTATATAATTTAGTTATAGAAATCAAAAATATTGACAAATGTCTGTTAATATAATTCCAATGTCATGTAAATGTCAAGAAAAAATTATTATCGTTAAAAATAATTTTTGATTTTTTTCATTAATTAAATAATAAGCAAAGCAAATATTTAAAAATATTGCACTTGTAGTTTTTTTTCATTTTTTACATGTAAAAAATCTTTTTTTTATTTTTATATAATTTATTTAATAAAAAAATTATTTAATTTTTCGATGTCGGCTAACTTAATTTTCGTGCATAATTTACCTAGTTTTAATATTGTTTTTATTTATCATATCAAATGATTTTATTATGGATTCTGTGTATCGTCTTCATATTTTATTTTTTAATTAAAATCATTGACCGGAAGGAAGTTAGCGTAGAATAATTTTTTTTTTTAATTAAATTATATGCCAATTAATTGCTACTTATGTAAATCATTGTGAACTTAAAATTACCAAAAATACATAATATCACACTAGCGCACTTTGCACAAAACAGATAACTATTATATTACCAATAAATACATTTTTCAACTACTGCCCTCTACCGCCGACATCTAAATTTAATTATTGAAGAAAATACGAGACACATCTACATCTGTATATAGTTTTTACTTTTTTACTTGCACTCGGCTCGCAGTATAGTCTGCATGTGTTTCGTGTTACACATCAGTTGTTTGTTTAAAAATACAAAAAAAAAGTAAATGTATTATCAGCACAAATCACTATCAATAAAATAATCGTATGATTATGTAAGTTCATCTTATTACAGTTTAATCAATAAAAAATAATTTACAAAATCTTGTAATTTATTTTTTTAATCATGGTGTCTTTTCTGAGTATAATCAGTGATTAGTGATACATACTCACAAATATACACATGTATATTGACATTTATATATTCCGCACATAAAAAACGACATTCAAACATGGCTGCTGCAGCGGCTGCCGCGCTTCTCGATGAATTGATGGGAAGAAATCGTAATGTTTTACCAAACGAAAAACCTAAAGAACTCAATTGGGAAGATCCTGAGGTACTTATTTTCTGATATTTTTTTCTTCTAATCTTACAATCATAAGTTACTATATTGTCACTTATCTCATCTCTGTTTTCTCTCCTGATAATTTTTGTGTCTACGAATTGTATCCTATAACATCTATTTTATTACTATTAAACATTTTATGACATTAATTTTAGCAGTCACTTGACCATTTTTTAGTTTTATTTAAAAAACAAATTTGTTCTAAAAAATTATTTAAAAAAAATTGTATTTTTAATTTTTTTAAATTTCTACGTCAATTTTTTTTTCTATTTTTTTTTGCACTAATTTATTTCTTCAAAAAATTCTAAAAATTATTAAGTATCTGCTACTTTAATTTTCATAAACATTTTCTGATATTTTAATTAATTAATTTAATTGTGCGTTCATTTTTTTCTCTTTTTAATAAATAAGAAATTGACAGCCAGGTTTTTTGTTTTATTATCTGACAATGAAATTAATCAATTGTCTTTTTTTTTTTACAGTTTTGCAAACTCTACTTAGTCAAATTTTGTCCACATGATTTATTTGTGAATACAAGAGCTGATTTAGGTGCATGTTCCCGTGTACACGACGATGAAGCACGTGAACTTTATGAAAAAGCGCAATACTCATATAGAAAACAGCAATATGAAGATGAATTCATACGCTTTTGTCAGAGCATGTTAAATGAAGTGGAAAGGAAAATTGTAAAAGGCAAACAGAGGCTAGCACTAATTGGAAAAACAGAAGCGGTAATTTTATTAAATATATTACTCCAAATTTATTTAATCATTAAATATAAAATTTTTGTGTAATAAATGAATGTAAACTTAAAAGTGTATTTGAGCTATTGAAAAACGTTTTTTTTTTTTTAATTTCTTTTTAGCCGACACTAACTCCAGCACAAACGCAAAGAAATGAAGAACAAATCGCGCTTTTAACGGAAAAAATAAATAAATTAGTTGAAGAGGCTGAGCAGAGTGGTATTCAGGGTAATGTTGAACAGGCACAAGGACTAATGAGACTCTGTGATCAATTGAAGGAAGAACGTGAGACGCTTAGGAAATCCAATGACAACAGTCATTACAATCAGGTTTGTTTTTGGAGTAGTTTTTTCACTTGTATATTTTCCAAATAATGAGCTTAAAATCACTGAAAAAAATTTAGACGGCGGAGTTGGCAGCTGCACAAGAAAAACAAATGGAAGTATGTGACGTATGTGGAGCATTTTTAATTGTCGGTGACGCACAACAACGTATTGATGATCATCTTATGGGCAAACAGCACGTCGGATATGCTAGATTAAAAACAGCTCTCCAGGAAATAATGGTAACTTTTTTTTTTCTTAAGGAAAAAATATGTAGAATATACTAGCTAGCTCTTCAGAAAGTTTAAAAATACCCTTATATTTATTAGCAGTACAAAAATATCTGAGTCTGGTTTAGAGCCGGTAGTGTTCTTTTTTTTTTTTTTTTTTTATTTATGTCGTAAAATGGTTTAAATAATTCTCTTGCGATATTATAGGCTAAACGTGAAAAGGCGAGAGATGAAAAAGAACAAAAAAGAGATGAAGATCGTAAACAACGTGCTCGTGCTAATGACGAAATTGAAAGGAGACGACGTGATGGAGATAGAGAACGTGATCGTGAGCGAGATCGTGATCGTGATCGTGAAAGAGATAAACGTCGTAGACGTGATGAAGAAAAAAATCGACATGATTCACACAGGTTACTTTTAATTTTATTTAACAATAAATTTGTCGCCATTTCTTTTAATTGAATAATTTTTTTAATATTACTCTATTTTAGAAATTCTAACTACAGAAGTAGAAGTCAATCACGCGATCATCATGATCGTCATCGAGAAGAAGATTATCGTCGTCATAATCGAGACAGAGGTAAAAATAAATTGTTATTATAATTATTAGTATTTAGTAGTTATTATTATTATGAAAAAAAAAAAATTGCCAAATTTTCTAAAATAAAAAAAAAAATTTTTTTTCAATTAAATAAAAAAAATCGGCCCTGTCCGGAATGAGCGGGAATAGTTGTCAAATTGATTGAAGTTTTTCTTGAGGAAAAAAAAATAAAAATAAGTGACGAATTTTGAAAAAATAACGATTTTGCGGAAAAAAACCCGAGTATTTTTTCGAAAAGTTCATTCAAAAACAAAAATTTAAATAAAAAAAGGTATCCAAAGGTCAATGTCTTAAAAAGTTATGGCTATTTGAAAATAAAAAAGCCATTTTTTTGAAAAATTCATAACTTTTTTGGGGTTGGATAAAAAAAATCTGAAAAAATTCTCAAAAATGTCTTTCAAAGGGTAGAAAAGAATAGAAAAGTTTCAGCTAAATCTAAAGGGGTCGGGTTCAAAAGTGGTCGATTTGGCATGGAATACCCTATATGTATCCATAGAATTTATTTTTTATAATTAACTAAATATTTATAGGTCACTTTTAGTTTATTTGTCTTCTTTAATTGTCTCTCCTTTTGATATTTGAAAAATTTTTATAATCTATAACGAAACTATGAAGAATTGTCAGATGTCTGTTGATTTTAGTATCATTTACATAAAAACAAAATATTGATGATTTTTTATTTTTAATTATAACAGGAAACCGAGATCATAGAAATTCCAACAGTCACAATCGTCGCCGTCACCGGTCAAGAAGTCGAAGTCACAAGTAACAATTCTTGATTGGTTAGTGAGTGAGCAATGATCCAGGTATGCACTATACAATTAAATATTAACGTGTCAATTACTGTGCAGGTATTGAAAATATAATAAGGTGAGTTTAATTAGCTCTGCCACGTAAATGAACATTACTATTTGATTGTTCAAAATAAATAAACGTTTCCAAATTTTGTAATAAAAAACAAAATTGCAATAATATAGGAAAAAAAAAAAAAAAAAAACAAAATCAAATTGTTTGTAACTGAAATCGTTGGTAATTTATCGTTGAATATTATTTTTATTACACGATTACGGAAACAAATACGACTATACATAATAAATATACTGCGCGTTTTAAATGAATAAAATAACGCGGTAAATAATTAATGGTTGATGTAGATTAAAGATAATACTTAGTTTATTATAAATACATAAATGATACGAGCAAGTTAGGAGAAGGTATACCTACACTTGCTTTATTATTGTAATAGGAATATTATTTAAAGTTACTTGTATTAATTAATAATTTAACGTAAAAAAACAATAGTTTAAAAAATAAAAAAAAATTCAAAAAAGTTAGTGGTTTAGTGAAGGAAATGAGTGCCTACTACAGTAGATCTGCTTCAGCAGTGCCCTGTGTGACTAGCTTCTGCCACGCATTTAATGAGGTATTTATATCGGAATGATGATACCTAATGAAATCAAATATAAATATTTTCATAAATAATATTATAATTCGCACTTTACAATAAAGTAATTAAATATCGCTGATACCGACTTTATTGTTTTTATTAAAAATTTAAGAATTATTGTTAAGTTATTTAAACTCTGATGCAACTAACACATGACAATAGTATAAGAAGTATGCGAACGACTGTAAATAATAGAATTTTATAAAAAAAAAAAGGTCTAATTACATTTTTTACGTAAATTTTGCTATTGAATTTTTTTAATCACTAAATTTTTAAACTCTTATATTTTAACGATACTAAAATCAACAGACATTTCCATTTTTTAGATTTTTATAACAATTAAATTATGAAAAAAATTCCACTTATAGATCTGAAGATATTTAAAAAAATGATAAGTGTGAATTAAAAAAATTATTTTTTTTTATCATAATTTAGATAGATTTATTTAACCTTGTACAACAATGAAAACTGCTTTTTAAAATTTTTCATCACAGTGTTATATATTATATTAATCTGCATTTAATTAAATAATTAAAGCTCTGATTCTAGCACCACTTTTTACTATACTTTAAAATTAAAAATTTTTTAAATATTTTAAATTAAATTAAGTTACATTCCATTGAAAATTCTGGAAATTTTTTTATCATAATTTATTTTTTATAAAAATAAAAAAAAAAAAATTTAGATGTTTGCTAATTTCAGTATCATTATATCTTATTAATGAATAAAATACTGGTAGCGTAAATGTAATAGGACTTTTTTAGTAAAATTATTTAAAAATAAATGGCGTTCCTAAAGCTAAAGGGCGTATGAATTAAAAATTTTCGAAACTCAGCTAAAAAAATATATAAGTATTAAAAAACACACAAACAATCAATAGCTATGAATATATACATAAATATAAAATTTTATATTAACAAATGTATTATATGTAACTGGTGACGGTTTATTACAGCGTATTATAGATTTTTCTCTGATATTTTATAAAATAGATATAGAATTTATTTATAAAATTTAATTGTATGATTTAATTATTTTAAAATTTATCTGTCTATTTTCAGAATTTGACCAGCCGGAGGATTTGACTTCACCTAATGAATCATGCGAGTTATCAACGTGAAATATCTTTTAAGGTAAAGATTTTATATAATCTTGAGATTGACGAAAAGCAAAACGCGGTCGTTGAAAAAATTAACTATTGTTCAAAAAAATAAAAAAAAAAAAAACGTTTTTTTGTTCAGATAATCGTGATTTATAATTAATGAATCGACAATGGTTATTAATTATACATTTTTTTTTAATTAACTGAACTAACTGTTAAAATAAACAGTTGAATTGATGAAATAAAATTTTATTTGTTTGATTAAACAAACAAACAATTTCTAATTCTTTACCATATTCCAGTAAACAAAATAAAATGTTATTTTACATAAATAAAACGGGTTAAGCGTTCCACATCGATTATAAAAAATAATTACTATTTTCCATCGTTTAAGTGTAATTAAACAAACAGAATAAAAATAATTAATTTAAATTGTGTATTAGTTATAAATTGTAATTTTTGACGCATAAATTGTTATTTCTTATCAATAAAAAATTAATTAATTAATGTCTTGCAATAATTGTATCATCCATAATTATTTATCAACAGAAAATAATAACTTTTACAATATTACATATAAAAATTGATGTCTTTAATTTTATTAATGATTTAGATATTTACAATAATACATCATAATGCCGATCTTTTTGCAGTCTTAAATATTTAATACTGGGAAAAAAGACGTTCAGTGGAAGATTTTTATTTTAAGCCCAAGTTTGTTGTTATCTGAAACAATATAAACTGTAATTAATTAAAAAAATTTTTAATTAATTATTAGTATGATAAATTATATCAGTTGTATTATAATATTAGTGAAATGAATTAAATTTGCGTGACATAAATAATATCAGGGTGATTCTCGGTAAGGATGTTTTTCGCTGTCCCAGGCATTTTTTTATTGGAAAAATTGTTATTTTGTTACTAAAAAAAATTTGTTACGAAAGTAAAAAAAACATTGCTATTTGGAGCATTGAAAACTAAGTGAAGTAAATTTTGGTTTTTTTGCTATAAATTCGTAAACCACCGAAATAACAGTCCCCTGAGCTGCCCCAGTCCCAAAATTAAAACTTTAAGATTAAATTTTAAGTTATTCGTCAATAATATATAATTTGGTCCATAATGTTTATAAACTTAATTAGTTAACTAGCAATCTTCTTCAATAAAAAGTAACGAAAATTAATTAAACCAAAGTTTGTCCCAGGCATTTTAAGAACAGTCTCCTGCCAGAAGTTCAAAGCCATAAAAAAAAATCCGGCGTGTTATTTTACCTTTTTTAAGGTTTATAAGGATCTAACTAGTCTTAACAAGTTAATAACCATAGGGCTGTTAGCGCTTTATCGCCATTTTATTTAGTAACAAAGCACCATTTGTGCTGGGAATATGTGTCTGGGCCACTTTAAAAATCAGCCCCCTGGCAACTATTTTTATTTATAAAATTGGATCCATAAGTCTTAATATTATTCTAATTAATGTAAACATTCATTGAGAACTTGAAAAGTCGAATGCATTGAAATAGTTTGCTTGATTTTTCTCAATTTGATAAAAAAAATCAGTCCCCTGTCATGTTATATGGCAAAAGATACACAAATATCGAAAAAGCAAAAATTAATTCGGCTGTTTATTTATTATGATTAAGCTGATAGTTTTGTAGCCCTTGTTAATTTTTTTTCTAATAAAATCAAAAATAATTTGGTCAGACAATTTTGTAGAGATTTAAGACGTCCTTACAGAGAATCACCCATCAATAGATTAATATAAAAGATAAATTACCTGCTCGTATACAGTCCACGCCATAGTTGTCATTAAAGTCCGTCTCAACATTCGAGGAATCATTCCTTTAAAAAAACCTCTGTATCCATATTTATTATATACAAAAATAAATACACTTTTTGTATTATTAAATTTATCTGGATATAATTGCATTTTAGTTTTAATAACATCTACTGGCTGCGTTATGGCCGATGCTAAAATTCCAGCAACTATTCCACAGGCAAAGTGAGTTGTTACATCGCTGTTTAATTCTAAAAAAATAACAATAGTAGTAATCATTATTATTAATTAGATTAGATAAAAAAAATTAAATTATATTAAAGCAATTCAATTACTTTTAATGGATAGTTGTTTTAATTGGGTATAAAACATAAGATAGAGGCCACTGTACGGAGCATCACGTAATAAAGTTGGCGCTAAACCGCTGGAAAGTCCCTTTATACCTTCGTATTTATAAATAAGTCTTAATGCCTCTCTCATACTACCGTATTTGTAAACACCGCTCTCGTATCTTGTTTTAATTACGGTTATTGGTATCAATAAACTTCCTGATAGTGAACGTGCTGTTATTCCCAGTGAGACCGCTTGTAATGGCGTAAGCGGCTCTTCTAAACATATTGTGTGTTTTAGCCAATGAAGAGTAGAAAAATATAAGCCTACACCAGGTATCACCCGAGTTATCGACTAGAAATTAAAGAAAAAAAAATTATCTTTTATCTATTTATTTAAAATTTAAGTTTAATTATTACAAATTATAATTACCGGAGTCATTCCCTTCCATAGTCCGAAAATATTATCTTTTTTGATAATGTGAATTACCGTTGTTATCATCGGGTATTTTGGCGAACTTTACAAGTATAAAAATAGTTTTTAATTATTAAAAAAGTATAAATTGTTTTGATACTAAAGTTAGCTGACAAAGGTCAATTTTTTTTTATTTTTATAGCGAATCAATAACAACAAAAAATGCTTATAAAAATTTCTACTAATAATTTTTTTTTTAATTTTCACATGCAAAATTTTTTCATTAAATTTTTTTCATTGCTATAAAATTCTCAAAAAATTTCTAATGTCTGTCAACTTCAGTGTCATAAATTATTATTAACTTGCGTTAAAATAAAATGTTTATCAAAAAATAATAATTACCTCACATGATGATTTACGGTGTTTTGCAGGCGTGTTTTAATGAGGTCTAACGGTTGGAATAAAATTGTTGAAAAGGTTCCGGAAAATGATCCAGCTAGAAATGATTTCAAAATTGGATACTGCAAATAAAATTAAATTTTAATTAATAAATGAGTAACAATGCTAAAAATGATGTAAGCTATTTTTAATAATTATTTATTCGTTCCAATTAAATATTTATTAATATAAATATTGACACTATGATCTTAAATTTATTGATAATTTTGAGTTCAGTGGTTATCAAACTCACGAGCGACATTCACGTGAGTTCATATAATCTTCAGAGGTCGTGAAGAAATTTAATAATACAATGCTCCTTCCCTAAAATATAACAAGTTATCTTTTTTTTTTCTCTTGTAGTAAATAAGGAAAAAATTGAGACATCTAAAATATCTACAAGAGGGAGCATTGCAATTTTTATTTACAAAACTGTCATAATATCTTTTTTAAGAAAGATAAAATTAATTAATTTTTATTATTTTCAGCTGCATAAATACTTTTTTAATTTTAATTGTCAATAAGTTCATTATATATTTATCAATTTTTTTTTAATTCATAAAAGAATGCATCAGCAAAAAAAGAATTTAATTTCTTCAGAATTTCAATTTAATTCTGTCTGTATAGAAAAATTTTAATATTATGAAAAACTGTACTACAAAAAATTTTTTAATGCGTATTTTAAAAATTTTTTACATGAATTTATCATATTTTTTCTCAATGAAAAATTTTTTTTAGTTTTCATAATTATGAATTTAAGGATTACTGAATAAAATTTTTTTGTGTTAAATAAATATGAATAAAAATAACGTTTAGAGTATGTATAATTTATGATAAGCACTAAACAAATAATTTTAAGGATAAAATTACTCACAGTTGTCAATGTATCCATTTCCAGAGAAAATAAAAATAATTCGAATGAAAAATAAGTGATTACTGATAATAAAGAGACTTCTCAGAAAGCAAGTATTGAACTAAAGTAATTAATAATGTTACGCCGGTACTTACATCTTTATGCATCGTCGTTTCTTCACTTCTCAGGTCAGCCAACTGACCTTCCATATCAAAACATGTAAGATAATTACAGTAAAATAATAAACAAAAGTTATATTATAAATGTAGTTGCAGCGTTATCAAATCGTATTTTCAATGAAACGTGATTTAAACGTGACTTCAACCAAACGTGATTTAAATTTATTGTTATTATAATATCTGCTAACATTTGTGTTAATGGCATATAATCTCCTAATTATCTTTTGTATTTTTATTTTATCACTTTTTAAATACATCCCTCGTATCGTTGAAACTTTCATATTATTTTCCACTGCAAAATAATTAATAATTAGATTAGTAACATGAAAAATATATTATTGCGCAAACTAATCGAGAAATATTTTTTATAGAAGTAAATCAACTTTTCATATTTATAAATCAATTTTTTTTTTTTTTTTTTTAATTGTTAAAGCTTACATGCATATTTATAAAAATTCATTATTCATTTTATCGCTTAGTTGCAATAGGCTATTTACGTAAGAATATTCTGCAAGTACCAAAAAAATCCTTATCAATGAGTCATTAGCGATTGGCAATAATCATTGATAACAATTGATACTACGTACTTACACTTTTACAGTTGTTTTTCAAAATTTGTAGTATTTTTTATGAAAGTAATCACATTTAATATAAATTATCATTTAATAAATAACAATATGCAATCTGTTTTGTTAAATGTACGTAAATTGTAATTTTTTTTACTTTCTTACAACGTCGTTTTAGATAAAATATATGTCAGTAATATTGAGTAACATAACTAAACAGTTATTAAATAACAATATTTATGGATATACATTTATATATGTTGCTCTAATTTTTTTAAGAAGAAACCTATATTGACAGTTGAGTATTTTATTACGTATGTAGTTAACTTCTACTAAGTAAGAGAGCTGTAGTTTTCAATTATTTTTTTCAACTTCTTGTTTTTATGCAATTAATTAATTTACAATTTGCTAACTTTGGTATCAGCCAACATTCGATAAATAATTTAGTTTTGACTACATTAATTAATAATTATAACAATGAATTGAGAAATTTATAAACTTACATGTAAAAAGCGCATCATAAAATTTAATAATAATTTTTGTTTTTTTAAATGTAATAATTCTTGATAAGAATTCACAGAAATTGTTGAAATTTCACTAGTATCATTAATTAAACTGTATCAGTCAAATTAAAAGTAATTAAGGTGAAGGTTAAAAACTTTTTCATTAATTAAATTAGAACGAAACAAATATTTAAAAAAAAATAAATCTTTATAGTTTTTTAACAAATAAATTATGGAAAGAAAAATTTATAAAAAAAAATTTCATTTTGAGAAGCTCCAAACAATTGTAAATGCAATTTTAAAAGAAAATCTTTTTAGAGCTAGTTTATTTTGTGAAAAGTGTCTGCTAATTTCAGTGGCATAATTTTTCTTTTTTAATTTTTTGTAATAACTTTTTTAATAAGAAAAATCCTAAAAATTGTCAGATGTATGCAAATTTAATGACATTAAAGTTAGCAGTCACTTGACTATTTTTGGATTTTTGTAACAAATAAATTTGTTAAAAAAAATTGATTTTTAAAAATTGCATTTTTAATTTTATTTTAAATTTCTCTGTCAATTTTTTTTCCTAATTTTTTTTTGCTATAATTTACTTGTTACAAAAATTATTAAATATCTGTTAAATTAATTTTCATGCAAATTTCATATTTGTAGATAAGTTCAATAAAAACGAACTGCGTTTTTTTTTTAATTAGGTACTTACAAAATTAAATCAATATCAATTGCTATTATAAAATTTAATTATCCATAATTTTCTGAAATAAAAATAAATAATTTTTGTATGAAAATAAAGTTAGCCGACATCCGAAGAATTTTATGACTTTTTTTATTTAAGAATTATTACAAAAAATTAAAAAAAAATTTTTCACTTGATGAAAACTTCAAAAACTCTAAGTGCAATTTTTTAAAAATATTTTTTAGTTATAATTTAATTAATTAAGCAAAATAAAAAAATCAAAAATGTCGGATAACTTTATTATTATAATTTTTGTACAAAAAAAATTTATATTATTACGTATAACATATATATATATGTTTACACTTACCCGGTTTCCGCAAAGTGGAGTAATTATTTAATAAAATTAATGATGAGTTGATGAGTAAAAATATACTTTAACTAAAAAAAGACATAAACTTGCAAGCTATTAATTTTTATCTTTAAATTATTATTTTCTAATATTTCAAGTGTAATGTCTCAAATTCAGTAATTCTGACGAGTATTTATCAACTTATTGAATCAATTGCGCGTGTAACTTACTTGTGCTGCCATCTTATTCGCTACACAAAAAACAAAGATTTTCTGTTGAAACTTTCTCTGAAAACTGCTATAGTTCCTGCTCAATTCTAGTCATCGGCTTGGACGGTTTTCTCATCCCATTCCTCCGCCATTTTCGTCGTTGCTCTACAGACGGTCGGTCGTTACTCTTACCAATATAAGAAGTAAGTTCAATTTCAACTTCAATAAAATTATTTTCTGTTAATATAATTATTTAAAAATATTTTAATTATTGTGATCTAATTATTGAGTATTTTTTATTTTACTTTATTTTCACTCAAATAATATTATTATAAAAAATTAAATATGACGCCAATAAGGTTATGGTGGCCACGTGTTCCATTCTTAAATAAATTCTTTTTTGAATTAAAATTCAACTAAATATTCCATTTTTAATAATTATTCTAGTTAGATTCATTATAAGTAATATTTTTAACTATTCAGGATACTCATTTGTTGCAAAATTATTAAGATTTTAGATATATTAGTCAACGTGTAAGAACGCGTGTCCAGTTAACATTATGCTCATGTAAATTTATTAAATTTTCCTCAATATTCAATTAAAAATATTTATTATTATGAAAATTAAGTTAGCCGACATTTAAAAACTTTTTAATTATTTTTTTTTGTTGAAAAAATAACGACAAAAAAAAGAAAAAAATTTTTACTTGTAAAAAACTACAAGTGCAATTTTTTAAAAATATTTTTTTGTTTTAATTTAATTAAAAAAAATTAAAAACGTCGGCTAACTTTGGTATTATTTTATTATTTATTTGATTAGTTAGTAAAATTAAAGAGAAAGTGATAATATTTTTTGAATACTCTAAAATATTTTCAATATTGCTAATTTTTATCACTGAATTAACTAATTTTACTTTTTTTTTTTTTTTAATCAGGTAACGATCTTTCATAATGGTGAACGGTAGAATCCCATCAGTCTTCTCAAAGACTTACGTCACACCGCGTCGTCCCTATGAAAAGGCACGTCTTGACCAAGAGTTAAAGATCATCGGAGAATACGGTCTCCGTAACAAACGTGAAGTATGGAGAGTAAAATACACCCTCGCTAAAATCCGTAAAGCTGCTCGTGAGTTGCTTACTCTCGAAGAAAAAGACCCAAAGCGTCTCTTTGAAGGTAATTATTTTCAACCATCGCCAAACTCATGACATTAAAATTAGCCGACGTTCAACAATTTTAGATTTTTTTATCAATTAAATTATAACAAAAAAAGTATTTTTACAAAATTGCACGTATAATTTTTAAAATTTTCTACATGTTAAATTTTTTTAATTTTTTTAAAATAATTTTTTCAATAAAAAAAATTCTAAAAATTTTTAGATGTCGGCTAACTTAATTTTCATAATTTTCATCTATAAAATTTAAAATGATGATACTATTTAAATTATTTTTCTGACACCTCTTGTCCGATTTATAATGAGGGACTTATTAATCTGAAATTTTTATCATAAAATAATTTTTATGAGGATTTTTTTTAGATAATCAGGAATTTAATACTGTAAATTATCTTTACAGGAAACGCACTTTTGCGTCGTCTGGTACGAATTGGAGTCTTGGACGAGAGCCACATGAAACTCGATTACGTGTTGGGTCTTAAAATTGAAGATTTCTTGGAGAGACGTCTCCAGACTCAAGTGTTCAAACTTGGTCTTGCCAAGTCAATCCACCACGCCCGAGTTCTTATCCGCCAGAGACACATTCGGTTGGTTTATTTAGCAATTAAAAAAGATAAAAAAAAAAAATAATTTAATTATGCCTTGACGTCTGGGCAAGAAATATCTATGACAGCTTAGATTGTTTCTAATCTTCAAGGCTAGATTAATTACCTGGCTAATCAGTAATGAAGGCTTTAATCCTTTAATTATTTTCGTATCCAGGAAACATTTAATTTAACTATTATTATTGTTGTTGTTATTTGTAATTAATTGCGTAAATATTTCTTAAACGTTCTTTAACTTACTCACAGATTGTCTAACGATTGAACATGATCGTTTAGACAATAATTGGTTTAATTTTCGTAAAGGCCACTGAAGTCTAGTTTTTATGACTAGTACTTTACGCCGCCGTTAACCCGTGAGGGAGCGCTGCCAATTTTCGGCATAACGAGAGGGAAGAAATTACCCTGAAAATAATTTTGTAAATCGGTATGAAATTTTTTAACGTAATAATTCGTATTGTGAGTCGGAAATGTTTAAGGGGGAACACCACTGTGACGATCGAAAAAAAGAGGTGATTTTCGGGAATTTTTTTGACAGGGAAAATAAAGAAATTTGGGAGTCGGATTTTTTTTATTTTATTAAGGGTACAATAAAAATTATTACCCTAAATTTTTATTGAAAAATATTCAATTATTACAAATTTATTAACAATATCGTAAAGCACTTGAAAAAATTTCCCCCTCCATGGCCGGTTCGAAAACTCAAAAACAGATCATCTGAAAATATAAACCCAAATTTCTTTTTAATCAGTAAGCATGTAGTTATCGTTGCACGAATGAAATTTTGAAAATTTTAATTTAAAAAAAAAATGGCGACTGATTGAAAATTTTCTCACTATTCTTACTGTTTTTTTTTTTGTTTTAACCCGGCTAAAAAAATCTTTAAAATGAAAATTTTTTCCAGTGCTCGACGAGATTGTTAATAACTTTGTAATAATTAAATATTTTTTAATAAAAATTTAGGGTAATAATCTTTAATGTACCCTTAATAAGATAAAAAAAATCCGATCCCCAAATTCCTTTATTTTCCCTGTCAAAAAAATTCCCGAAAATCACCACTTTTTTTCGATCGTCACAGTGGTGTTCCCCCTTAATTGTGATTCTATTCATTTGATATTATAATTAGAATTGAATTACATATTAAACTTTTATAATTTATTAATTTTCATTTTCTATTTACAGTGTCCGCAAACAAGTCGTGAACATCCCGTCGTTCATTGTTCGTTTGGACTCGCAAAAACACATTGATTTCTCATTGAAATCGCCCTTCGGTGGTGGCCGTCCTGGTCGTGTAAAGAGGAAGAACATGCGTAAGGGAACTGGCGCAGCTGCCGCTGAAGAAGAAGAAGATTAAACTGTAAATTAAATGTTCAATTTGAACTTTAAATAAAATCACTCATTTACAGTTTAAAAATAGTTTTGTTATTACGTTTTTTATAATTTAATGTTTAAGCCAATGGAGTGAATGAGTGAGAGTGAAAGTTTAGATTAGTTTTAATTATAAAAAATAACTATTTTTAATATTTCATGTTTATTAATTTATTTATATCAATAAAATGATTGTTAATTCAATAACTAGTAATTAAAAAAAATTTCCACTTAATTAGATTTAATTAATTATAGATTATCAAGTAATCGTTGACTATATTTTTAACTTTTTCAAGAAATTTAGAACATTGTGTTGATGATCTACAAATAATGTATTTTTAGGAATTAGGACAACAGTTTGAAAAAGTAAGAGTTAGTTTATCACTTGAGACGCTTTATAAATTTATCAGAAAGTTGAGTACAAGTTATAACAGGATGAATGCTTCAAAAGTTGAGCGTAACTTAATATGAACTATCGTTAACTCGCTTCCAGTTGTGACTATTTCTATTTACTTTATTAGTTTATTAATAATTTATAGAAAAAATATAATATAGGGAATTTATGAATTTTTAGGGGTAATCATACAAATATTCTAATAGGTATTAGTTTTTCAGAAAGTTCTTGAAATCCTTTCAATGCAAATAAAAATTCACCGGTTTCTCAATCTTTTTTCATATCGCCTGTGTAAAAATATCATTTTTAACTGCATTTATCTTTTGTTTGAAGAAGTAAATCGATTTTAAATTTTAACTGCATCGTATTGTGCATTTAATTATTTATATTTAAAGTTTGAAAGATTTCTTGAGATTTTTTTGGTGGGACCCAACTATTTTAAAGTAAACATTTTTTTTTTTAATTTAGATAGATATTTATTATTTATGCCAAGGCGATAATGGCCGGATGGCAAATACAAAATTACATATTTAATAATATATTTTTTTTAATATATTAATTGATTCAGTTTCAGTTTATTATTTTTAATTTAGGTTTTGATTTAACTGAGAAAATGATGAAAATGAAGTTAACCGACATTTCAAAATTTTTATAAATTTTTTATTGAAAAAAATTTCAATTAAACAATTAAAAAAAAAAATTGTTACATTTAAAAAACTTGAAAAACTATAAGTGCAATTTTTTAGAAATATCTTTTTAGTTGTAATTTAATTAATAAAAAAATAAAAAATTTTTACACTTCTGCTAACTTCAGTGTCATAGAAAATAACTTGAAATAACGTCTTAGTTTATTTACAAAATTAAAATAACAATATGCTATAATTTGTAGTTAACAGTGAATATTTTTCGGTAACTTGATACACTTTTCTGATAAATTTAAATGACGAACAACTATCATTATATTTTATAGTGACTCTTACTTAATATAAGCGTACAATAATTTAAATATCTAATTTAAATAAGTAGTCAAACAATCTATTCTTGAATACTTCGAGACTAGTCGCATTTATTATTTCAGTTGGTAATTCTTCCCAGAGATGAAATATCTAAGTGTATGAAGCAATAATGTAATGTTGTTTAAAGTATTTTTCATAAAATATCAATAATAATTTTTGGTATAATTTAAGACAATATTATTGAATAAAAATCAAGAATGTAAAAAGTTCTTTCGACAGAGCATTATGCAGTAACCGTAAGAATGACGTAAAACATAAGAAAATTGAGAATATGCTGTTTTTTAAAAGGCTTAACATATTTTTGCTTGTCTGTTATTGTTATTGTAGTATTAAAGCAAGTAGTTAATCTTGAAAAATTTTTCCTTTTTATACTATGGTAGTTTTTCTCTTGAGAAGAGCTCATTGAAAAAATCTAAAAAACGTAAAGAATGTCCTAGAGCGGAAGTTAATGAGCGGACGAACTCTGCGTTCTGAACATTACGACAATGTTCTGGAGTAAATGACCGACATTTGCTTTAATGTGTGTTGGTTAATTTTTTTTTAGCTTTTATATGTATGTATATAGTATACGTAAGCTGTTGGATGCTCTTATAAAACTGGAGCAGCGAGAAAACGGTATTACGTATTTAAAAACAGAAAAAATAATTGTAAATACGGGTATTTAAAAAAAAAGGAGGAGACTACCGACGATTATTTTCGTTGACCACTGCGTCGCTTGTCGCTTTTTTCTTTATTTATTTTGTAAAGCTCTTTTTTTAAGACCATGGAAGCGAGACGAGAACCCGTTATGTGATCACAGGATACAAGTTTACCTATTATTTGCGACAATCGAGCGTAAAAGAGTTTGCATTGCGAATATAAAAAATAAAATAAAGGAATTCAATTGCTGCAGACTTGTTATTAAATAATAAAATTCCGATTAATTTTATTTGTCGCAAGTTAGTACCGTAAGTAATTTAAGTAATTATTATTTTGTCATTTTTTTGTTTGTTTTATAAGAAGATTTATTTTTAATAATAAAAATAATAATAAATTTATCTTATAAGTTATTTTCTTTTTAACATGTTAAATGCATTTAAGAGTTTTTATTTAAAATTAATAAAAAAAGTAATTTAAAGATTATAACTGATAAAATCCAGTTTTATTTCATTTCATTTTTGTCAAAGCGCTTTTTTTTTTTTTAAATTGGGTTTTCAAAGTCGGTGATCAAAATTTTTCGAAAACGGCTGGACCAATCAGTCTTTAATTTTGACACAATTTTCTTAACTATATTTTTCAGTAATTAACCAAAAGATTAATAATTCTGATAAATATTTTATATTTTTATAAACAATTGAAGGCTAAAATTTTCATCACAAATAGAAATTTTTTTTTTATAAAGCCAATCATCAGTATATTGAACATTAAAAAATATAATTGGTGCATTAATTAGTTTTTGAACATTTATATTTTGTGCTATGTAACAATATGTTTTACAGCCGTTATAATTATTAAAATTACAAGGTATGTAAAAATATTGTACAAGACGTATGTTTTTACGTTTAAACTTTTGACAATAAGATCTAACCTGGTCAAAGTCCTATGTAAATGCTAAGTGCGCATGCGCTAGAATAAAAATCGCGGAGATATCACCAAGTATAATCCAAGATTCTACTGAGTATAATCCAAATTCTACAGGAAACAATCTCGGATTATAACCAGTGGAATCTTATGCGGTATAATCTGAGATTTCACTAGGGGAAATTCCCATTTCCCCTAGTGAAATCTCAGATTACAATTATACACCAGATATCACTCAGTATAATCTGGAATGTTATCCAATGTAATCTTGTTCTTTCCGTGTATACCATTTATTTGGCTATAAAATTCAAAATACCCACATAGACCTCATACGTTACACGGCTCGTGAGAGGTCATGCATTAAAGATGAACAAAACATATGTGAGCGAGTAAGAACCACTTGACGAACTTAGTATGCCCTGGTTGTTGACAACTTTATACGATAATGACAAAACAACTCGGAGATGTAGAGATTCATACAGCGAAACTACTGAACAGTAAAACTCCAGGGAAATCTACAAGATAAGAAAAAAAAAAGAAAATATAAATAAAAATCAGCATCAACCAGTATGGGGAAAAAGTAATGATCAATGAAATAGAAATTCGAGTTAATGCACCGGAAGAAATCCGTGTCATCATTATGACAGAAGCCATCAGTCAATATATTCGATGTTTTATATACATTTAACATTTATTTTTAGAAAGCCTCTATCCGAAGACAAGGTACTGTCTCGCACCAAGCACACGTTCGTCGAATATATGAGAATTTTAGTCCTCGATTACTCTAACACAAATTCACCTGTATAATCATCAAGATAAATGTGTTCCTTTAGAATACAAGCAAACGCCAGACAAACATATTCACATCTATGGCGTGTGTTCGCAGTATTTCTCTTGCAAAGGGTGCGGCTTTGTATATATAGCATATAAGTGAATGAATACCGGTGTATTTGTAGTAGATAATAAATGCAAAACGTCGAGAGAAAGACCGGGGTCGAGCAGGACTACCAGTACGAGGAGTACGGTACAGAGGAATAGCGAATTAAAGAGAAATATATAATAGTATCATGTCTTCTATTTCTCCAATAGGTGGACTTGTGTTCACTTAATGATGCTACATTACCCATATGACTAGAAATACAGAGACTGGTGAAAAACGATCGAAGAATTTTCTTTGTATAAAGCTTAGTCTTCTACATCTATTATCTATATATCTTCTAGTGTATAAGATTTCGTATTACGTTTTCCAGCTGTGTATGAAAGAACGGACTGGTGTCGGTCTCAAAATGTGGTATATGTGGACGTAGCTTGGAATATCACAATACAAAGGTGAGTTAGATAGGCACAAGCACACGGCTTTGCACCAAAGCTAGAGCTCTCTATGTTAATGGATATCTCTGTTATCTTACGCAACCTCATTCCTAGGATTTCATAGCTAGTACCTGGGAATGTATGGCTTCTACTGTCATTGACACTATATTGCTAATTACTACCATGATTTTGAAGATTATGTTTCTATATACTACGTCTTCTATTGATTATTTCGATTCAATACAATAAGCACTGGATTAATTAATGTTAATTAATTGCGCTACGTTTCGTACGTAATCTCAGTAAAAGATCAAACGCGATATTTAACCAGATTATTGAAATTCTGATTCAATTTGGGTATTAAGCTGTTTTTTATTTATTTTTTGTCACGTGCGATTAGATAGTTCGGACTATTATCTGACACTCCCGTTATTTGATTTTTAGTAAATTTCATAAAAGTCTAACTATTGTATTTGTTCTCATGACGTAACTTTTCAAAAATTTTGCTAATATATTTCGACTTAACTTGACAAGCTGAGTCAGAAAATACATATATATATATACACTAGGGTGTGCCAAAATGTAACTTCCTTGATGGACCTCCTAAAATTGGAACTTTGAGTTCCGCTTTTAACAGAAGTTGTGTTTGGGCATTTCCTGACATATTTTGAGTGTAACGGATTTATTTGATTTTTATAGAATTTT